TCAACTTCCTGCAGAATCACCAGAATTTACTGAATCTCTCTTGGGTGGGGGTTTTGATGCCACTTTATTTCTTCTTAGTTTCCTTTTTAAGAAGTTCCATATCTCAATTTCAAATACATACAGAATAAATGCCACAAAAATAATGCCTCCCATTAAAATAGTCGTCATTGAGGTGATAAGAGAGTTTCCTGGGAATGCCAGTGGAGAATCATCAATGTAAATCTGCAACAGAAAATATTGTAATTCCAACAGTCACTTCCCTTTAAATTGACTATTGTTCTCCCTGTTGACTACAAGATAGTGAAACTGGTCTAAGTGATAGCGAAAGCTGGCATATGCAAATCTAAGTGGTGGGGGAAGAGAAGCAGTCATCTGAGTTTATAGGGAAAGCAATTTGGTAAGCATTGCATGTGGTTTGTTGCAAGATACTGTATTATATTGTACCTCGTAAAATAAAATACCCAGAAAAGTATGGGCTAAGAAAGTATGGCTCTCTTTGTTAAGCATAGGTTTTTCCTTGTATTCTCAGACAATCAGTTCTATGAGGGAAGGCTCACAGTTCAGTGGTAAAGCACGTTTTGCTTACAAAAGACCAAAGGTTCAGTTACTACTACTATTTCTACTTCAGAAAGATTTGGGGTAGCATGGCTAGGAAGGAACTCTCCCTGAAATATTGGAGAGGTGCTGCCAGCCAGAGCAGACTAGCCTTCCCAGACATTTGGGACTCCCATCCCCATTAGCCCTTTGCAGTCCCAAATCACCTGGAAGGCATTAAATTGGAAAGGCTGGAGCAGAAAGTTAACCTGGTCCAGATTATCCAAGTGACTCTATCAGCTCTTGTTTCAGATGGCAGCCTTTCCATGGTCATATGTTTGGCACTGGCAGGCCTGCCAAGAGGGCAGGGGGCATATTGCTGTGCCAGAGCCAGCACATGGCCCAAACTCTGAACTTTAATGAAAAAAACGCCACACACAATTAAGTTTCTAGAGCTTGTACAACAGAAGTGACAAAGCAAAATCTTCAGGCACCATTCAAAGCTATTGCTTTGTGAGCTAAGAGGCTACTCCTGCCTTGCAGTGTTTTCAGTCAATGACCGAAGTCACAGTTGTGCTATTTAAATATCTGCTGGGCTTCTGTCACTAAAGAGTACTTGCCTCAGACCTGGGCCTTGGCATCCAGAAAGTCATTCATATATACAGGGTGAGTCCTTTAGAAGAGGCCCTGTGGATACAGAGTACACATGTTCCACGGGGCCTCTTTTAAAAACCACACCCTGTATGAGGGGAGATATATATGTATGTATATATATATATATATATGCTTTCGTAGATTTTCACGGGTACAGGAATGCAGGTTTTGGTGTCCTCGGGTGTCTTCCCGTGTAAAAGTTGGGGTGTCTAGGCGACGTTTCGACGAGGTCTCACTCGTCATCTTCAGGCTGGTGCTTTCGGCTTCTTGTTACTGGAACAGAGCAGGATCTCAGTGTTTGAGTTCATATAAATACTGTTGAGGGGGTGTGGTGTATAGCCTCCAATGTTCTGGGCAGAGAGGAAGTTCCCAGGCTAGTGTGCCTTTTCTTCTTTTGTTCCTTAATTACTTGAGGGATATCTTGAGTGATTTCTTGAGTGATATTCTGAGTACCATTCTGCAGCATCCGGAGGTGCACCCCCCTGCAATCCCTACACAGATCTGGCTGGCACAGGGCACAAAACCACAGCTCGCCCCTATACACGAAGCCAAGCCAGAGCACAACTAAGTGCAGTACAGCCATCTTCTCAGAAAAACTCTTCACAAAGTTCAAGAGGTCAAGACACGAAGGCTTTAGCAACTAATCCACACCTAATGACCCACCTAAGTGGTACTCAGAATATCACTCAAGAAATCACTCAAGATATCCCTCAAGTAATTAAGGAACAAAAGAAGAAAAGGCACACTAGCCTGGGAACTTCCTCTCTGCCCAGAACATTGGAGGCTATACACCACACCCCCTCAACAGTATTTATAGGAACTCAAACACTGAGATCCTGCTCTGTTCCAGTAACAAGAAGCCGAAAGCACCAGCCTGAAGATGACGAGTGAGACCTCGTCGAAACGTCGCCTAGACACCCCAACTTTTACACGGGAAGACACCCGAGGACACCAAAACCTGCATATATATATATATATATATATATATATATATATATATATATGCGCGCTCCAGTCTGCTTTAGCTTCCACTTCTGTGTGTTTCCCTAAGTGTCCTTCTCCAGTCCAGTCCCCCTTGCACCCGCTAATTCCTGCTGTTCTCTGGGAATGTGCTGAAGTAAGGGCTAAATATGTGGGAACATTTTGTACAATCTTGTATCCTATTTTATGTTTGTTAATTCATTCTGTGTGTGATTTGTGTGTTGTTGTTTTTAAAAAAGAGCTAGTGACAATACCTGAAATTCGTCAAATAAGTTACAAAAGGAGACTCCAGGAATAGTTGATACCCTGAAATGGAAAAGCTCAGATCCCTGTTGGAAAGGGGGGGGCAAGTTGTTACTAATATGCAGCAGCATTTGTTTTCATTTTTTGAATTAAAACTGTAATCCTTGGCTATTAATGTGATCTGGTTGCTGAAAGAAAATAAGTGTTTTGTATGACCTGAACAGAAATATAGATATGGCATCGTTTCTCGGCCTTTTGGCTAAGATCAAGTGTAGAAATATAGATATGGCTGGCTGAACTGCAATGTGGCACATGGTGCAATATTGCCTCAATATTGCTGCTCCATTTTTTAAAAAATCGATTCTCTTAAATGTCATAAACTATAACCGAAATATAAAGTGTTCATGTTCACTTGAAATGTTTCACAGAAATAATGTGCAGTACCACATGGAACAGACAGGAGCTGCTTATTGAGAAAAGCATCTTACATGCATTCAATTGTTTGTATAACTACAGCCTAAAATATCTGTAGAAGGTATCTGAAGAAGTGTGCATGCACACGAAAGCTCATACCAAGAACTAACTTAGTTGGTCTTTAAGGTGCTACTGGAAGGAATTTTTTTTGTTTTGACTACAGCCTAAAAATCAGTGTTGCTAGCAACTGTGTTATATCCTTGGAACAGAAAATTTCTGAGATTTTGAATTAATATGCAAATTAAAAAGGTAAAGGTACCCCTGACCGTTAGGTCCAGTTGCAGACGACTCTGGGGTTGCGGCGTTCATCTCGCTTCCGGGAGATGGCGTTTGTCCACAGACAGCTTCCGGGTCATATGGCCAGAATGACTAAGCCACTTCTGGCAAACCAGAGCAGCGCACAGAAATGCCGTTTACCTTCCTGCCAGAGCAGTACCTATTTATCTACTTGCACTTTGATGTGCTTTCGAACTGCTAGGTTGGCAGGAGCAGGTACCGAACAACGGGAGCTCACCCCGTTGCGGGGATTCAAACCGCTGACCTTAGGCTCAGTGGTTTAGACCACAGTAGTAGTAATGATGATAATAATAATAATAATAATAATAATAATAATAATAATAATAATAATAATTTATTTGTACCCCGCCCATCTGGCTGGGTTTCCCCAGCCACTCTGGGCGGCTTCCACAGAAACCAAAAATACCGTAAAATCACACATTAAAAACTTCCCTGAACAGGGCTGCCTTAAGATGTCTTCTGAATGTCAGGTAGTTGTTTATCGCTTTGACATCTAATGGGAGGGCGTTCCACAGGGCGGGTGCCACTACCAAGAAGGCCCCCTGCCTGGTTCCCTGTAGCTTTGCTTCTCGCAATGAGGGAACCGCCAGAAGGCCCTCGGCGCTGGATCTCAGTGTCTGGGCAGAACGATGGGGGTGGAGATGCTCCTTCAGGTATACTGGGCTGAGGTTGTTTAGGGCTTTAAAGGTCAACACCATCACTTTGAACTGTGCTTGGAAACGTACTGGGAGCCAATGTAGGTCTTTCAAGACTGGTGTTATGTGGTCTCGGCGGCTGTCCCCAGTCACCAGTCTAGATTAGTTGTAGTTTCCGGGTCACCTTCAAAGGTAGCCCCACGTAGAGCGCATTGCAGTAGTCCAAGCGGGAGATATCTAGACCACAGCACCACAATGTCAAATGTATTTTGCACAGTGGCCCAACATGTGGTCCAAGGGCTGCATGTGGACCTCAAGGCTTTCCTCCCCACCCCTCAGCAACCTCTGATGCCCCCTCCCCAACCCTCGTGCTGCCTTCTCTAAGTTGGGTAAGTGCTGGGAAGGAGCTGTGAGGGCTGACAGGATCCTAGAGCCCTCCTGTCTCCTTCCCAAGGCCTGATGCCTTTATTACCCAGCTTTGGGAAGGCAGCACAGGGGGGTGGGGCGTGCATCAATTTTAGGCCTTGTTCCACAACACCACACCACCTGCCCACATGACAAGGCTTTGTGTGACCCGCAGGTTCCGTGTCACCGACAAGTCAGCATGGCACCAACATTCCTCTGATGAAAATCAGGACGTATGTCTTTTGGTGCCATGCTGACTTGTGCGAAAGTGCAGCATCCTCCTCCCCAGGGTCAGCAGTGGCACTGGAGGGGGTAAATGGGACATTCTAGGATCAAATCAGAAGCTGGGATGGCTTCTTCAAATTCTGGGATGATGCAGGAAAACTGGGGCACCTTGAAAGGTTTTGAGTACTCTTGTGACCCACTTTGTTTGAAAAGTTGGACCACCCTGGTACAAAGATTTTAAGGTAAGAAGAGTTTGGGTTTAAGGTTTGGTCTTTTCGTTCAAAGTACAGTGGTACCTCTGGTTACGAACTTAATTCATTCTGGAGGTCTGTTCTTAACCTGAAACCGTTCTCAACCTGAGGTACCACTTTAGCTAATGGGGCCTCCCACTGCCGCTGCGCCGCCAGCGTGCAATTTCTGTTCTCATCCTCAGGTAAAATTCTTAACCCAAGGTACTACTTCCAGGTTAGTGGAGTCTGTAACCCAAAGTGTTTGTAACCCAAGGTGTTTGTAACCTGAGGTAGCACTGTATGTATTTTCTCTGGCACTTACAGTTATCGTTATAGATAGGCCATCTGGATTATACAGTTCAGTTTTGAGTCTGTGCTCCAAATATGTTTTCATTTTTAACATACTTGATGTTTGATTGGTACCTGAAAAAACAGTTAAAACAGTCGCAGAGTGGAAGGTTTGAGTTTCTTCCTTCTTTTTTACATTTCAGTAGGGCCTGAACACAGATGAATAGCCAGATCTATTTCTCATGTAATGTAAAAGTACATGAGAAAGGTACAAGAAAGGTATCAGAGGCACACCATGATGTATTAGAGCTGCACAGGGTCTTCTACAGCGGCTTTCCAGAGGTTAACAAACAGCAGTGCTTTTTTTCTAAAAAAAGTTTAGGGGTACTCTCATTTTTCTACTCATATTGAAATACTGCCCCTCAATGAGGCCAAACTTAGATTCACAAAATGTTTAGGGTTATGTGTACCCCTGAATCCCCCCAGAAAAAAGCACTAACAGTGATTACCGGTAATTATCACGAGTGGGTGAAAAAGGAGGGGTGTGGACAAACATTCATATGAAATGTTGGTTAACCTGAACTCCTCTTTGTTATAGCCGAAGTGCCACCATAACTATTAGTCATGGTAAAAGCTAGCAGGAGAAGTAGAGGAAGAAGAACAGCAGCTAGAGGGAAGGGGTGTACCCATGGTAAACCAATGGGTTGTGTTATGCTTGTTTCAGGCCTTAAGGGTCTGTGGGTGTAATAGGTTTGGCATGCAGAAAGAATTGGACTAGATTCAAATCTTTCCACATCAAGTCTTCCCTGAACTAGAACTTGCAACCGCCCCAGCAGGCATGGCCAATGGATAGGGATGATGGGAATTCAGCAACATACAGGGGACCAAAGGTTCCTCACACCTACTATAGGGCAAGAAAGAGAGCCTGAAAATACATTGATGACAAGTATTTCCAACAGAACCTCTCTGATATGAAAGACAATGATGAATCCCAAGATTCTTCTGCTCCTTACCTGAAACTTTCCAGTTGGTTCTGTTGTTGACTTCTATGATTGTGATAAAATAAGGAGATGTCAGATTTACAGAACGACCCTCATCCTCAATGGTGAAATAGAGAGGAAGCCTTGATACTGGGAATTTCATTCGCAGGGCCTGGCAATGAAACATATATAGAAATCACTGACATTATAATGATGCCTGCAGGGAAAGACATGGAATGACACAAATGTAAGTATTTACATAATCTGGTTTAGTTCTGCTAAATAGGAAGTCTGATGCTGGACCTTACAAATTGGTAATGAGCTGAATGAAATCCAATGGACTGAAAATCAGTCCCAGAAGGTCTGAGATTCTGTGGGTAGGTGGCACATCTGTTAAATCTGTTATGCATAAGGTTGCACTCCTTCTAAAGTAGCGTTTCACAAGCTGGTAAGGAGGCAGCCCAGCAGGGCCTAACGTTCCTTTTTGCCACATGTGTTTTCTTGGAGCAGTCCTGGTTTTTTTCCAGAAAGAGAGGGCAATCACTGAGGCTCCCATTTTGACCAGTAGAGCCCGCAGTCCAGAACTCCCAGGTCAGCTAAGTGCGGTGGTGGGGTGGCAATGGGTAGGGCTGGGCGAGCCAGAGTTGCTTGTTGTTGCTGCCAGTGCTGGGTTCGGTGGCAGCCTGGCCTGACTCTGCAAGGTGCAGGGTGCAATCCACCTCAGCGCTTAGTGGATCAGGGCCATCAGATGTTGCCGATGAGCGTAGGGCCCGTCGGCAGCGTTGCACCGGCTCTGCATGGATTTTAATTGATTTTTACTTATAGGAAGACAGCTGCCCCCATGCCCCCCTCTTGACTACGTCCATGTGGGGTGGGCCACAGGAAGAACACAAGGTCAGAAGAGGGCCATGGTTGGGAAAAGGTTGGGAAACACTGCTCTATAGGATGAAATTCTTAGATTGAGCACACTCCTAAATATAGCTTTGTCAATGGAGAACCAGATAAGCCTTTGTGGGAAGGAATGTCTTTCACATTAATTTAGGCTGGTGTGCCAGCTGCAGCTTCTTCTGGAAAGCGATAGCTTGGCCACAGTTATCTGGAAACAAGGATTGACTACTGTATTGGGTTGCATCTGGGGCTACCTTTGGAGACTGCTCAGAAATTGCAGTTACTGCAGAATACAGCTGCTAAGTTAGTAACTGTGAGTGGCTCAAAAGGCTTCACTAGCTACCAGTCCATTTCTAAATTCGCCTTTAAAGCCCTATACAGCTTGGGACCCAAGCACCTTGAAGAACCATGGGAGTCTTTAGAAATTCACTTTCAGGTGTCCCCACCATCTGAGGTGTGGCAGAAGGCAGCCAGAGAAAAGATTTATTGGTTATGATGCCCCATTTGCGGAATTCCCTCCCCAAAGATATTTGCCTGTCGCAACATTGTCATCTTCTCAGCAGTAGCTAAGGGTATTTTTTGCCTTCTTAGGTTTCTTAACATACTGTTATTTTGATATACCCAGTACTTTACATACTGGATGTAATGGTTCCAGGATACAGTGGTACCTCCAGATGCGAATGGCATCCATTCTGGAGCCCCGTTCGCATCCTGAATGGAACGTAAGATGCAACGGCGCATCTGCGCATGTGCGGGTCGCGTTTTGCCACTTCCGCGCATGCGTGTGACGTCATTATGAGTGTCTGTGCATGCGCGAGCGGTGAAACCCGGAAGTAACACACTCCGTCACTTCCGGGTTGCAGCGGAGCGCAACCCAAAAGCGCTCAACCTGAAGCACATTCGACCCGAGGTATGACTGTACTACATATCTCCTCCGAATAACAAACAAAAAGCTGCACATGTAGGCATAGCCCTTACCTTCTCCTTGCAATCAGAAAAGGCAACAGAAAAGGACAGCTTCATATTTTCTGTACATCCACATTCGGAGCGCTTTGACTTGCCAGCACATTGCTTGTACCGTCCAGAATTCTGTGGAAAAAGTAAAGGGACCCCTGGCTGTTAGGTCCAGTCACGGACGACTCTGGGGTTGTGGCGCTCATCTCGCTTTACTGGCCGAGTGAGCCAGGGTTTGTCTGCAGACAGCTTCCGGGTCATGAGGCCAGAATGACAAAGCCACTTTTGGTGAATCAGAGCAGCACACAGAAACGCTGTTTACCTTCCTGCTGCTTGCACTTGATGTGCTTTCGAATTGCTAGGTGGGCAGGAGCTGGGACTGAACAATGGGAGCTCACCCTGTTGTGGGGATTTGAACCGCCGACCTTCTGACCGGCAAGCCCTGGGCTCTGTGGTTTAGACCACAGTGCCACCCGTGTCCCAAAGAAGGTATAATCAAGGCAATTCTCGACTGTGCTTACAAAGTAGACCAACATATGCAATTGAAATCATTTGACCTCTGAATCAGTCTATAGTTTTTCAACTATCAGTGGACTGGAGAGCCCTGCGTGTTCAAATTTGGTGGAAAAGGGTTGTCAGAAAGAAAGGGAGAGTCAGGGCAAAGAGAACTATGCAATAATTATTGTTCCTTAGTGAACAGGAAGCATGATATGCAGTTGGGTTGAAGAGAAGCATTCTCTTGAGCAAGAGACAAATGAGCTGAATGGACATTGGGGCTCTTGGGTGACAGCAAATGATTTTGCAGATGAAGTCCTCTGCCTGCTTTTCAGCCTTTCCCTTTTTCTTCTCTACACTCTCCATATTCTTAAGCAGCCTTGATACTGTTGACTTTGAGAGTCTTTAATGAGATGTAAAATATCAATATCTTGAATATATGGAATAGTGCAAAAGGAGCTATGCATGCAATCCTCTACTGCCTCTTGTTGATAGAACAGGAAAACATGGAGGATTGTAAAACGGGGTGAGACAGTAGAGTTCACCTAGGGCAAAAAAAAGGAAATGCTCATATTGGCTGCTCTGGGTGCTTCAAATTGTTCCCATTGCTCCTAAAGTATATTTACCTTGAGTGTGTGGAAAGTAGTTGGGCAATTGTGTCAACATATGTTCTGATCCTATCTATCCTATTACTGCAAAGATTTGGCAAGTGATATGAGGTGGCCATGAGGTGGCCATAAAGTTAAAACATAAGGATTCGAGCCCAGGTTTTCAGGTTATTTTTCTCAGAATAGTATGTGAAAACCAGCTATTTATAGTGGGAAGCAGACAGATGTTGAGTCTATAGTATGTGCAAGCAGGATGCCTAAGTTCTGGGGCAAACTCTATAGAAATGCTTATCTGGAAGTTGAATTTCAATATTCTCCTCTTAATTAGAAATCTCTTTTCTTAATGCGTGTATATGTATGTAAAGAACATGCAACAGCACGGAGTGCAAAATGGATAGCAGTTTTTTAAAATGTGCATTCTCAAAGCTCTTACAGGAGTAGCTATGAAGACTTACTTTTGAATTTGTAAAATAATCCCTCAGTTTAGGTTTGCTGGGGTCAGCATTATAGAAGTTTTCTGTGAGTGGAACAGCAATTCCCAAAACAGATGGTGGCCTGTAGTTCACCTGTACAGAAAACAACACATTTTAATGGGGGAAATTTATTATTTGAAGAAATTTTGCAAACAACTTAAATCGTTAGCGGGACTGACATAAAAACGTGCAGTGAAAATCATTTAAATAAAATACAAAGGATAAATAGTAAATAGATATGAATTGGATATGCAGTGATAAAAGATAAAACATAAGCACAGAAAGGGTCAATGATTTTATGTTTTTTAATTGGTTGTATAAATTTATTTGTGTGATAATCTTTGTAAATGAAAAAAGAGGAAAATTATATGATGAAAAATAAGACTGGCTTCCCCTTTGTGTCATCTCCCCAACCCTGTATTCATACAATTATTACCAGCAGCACAGATTTCTTTCTTTTTTAAAAAAAATAAACTTTTATTAAGGCTTTATTAATACAGATAAAAGAACAAATTTAAAAAGCAAACTAATCTAAATGAAAACAGAAAGAGAAAGCGAGAGAAATGCAATCCTCTCTCAAAGGTAGGTCTCAAGCCGTGTCTCACACATAAGGGGGTGGCTCCTCCCAGATCTCACCTGGGAGCTTCCCTTCTTCCAGCCTCCCACCCTGGGAGACCTTCCCTTCCCTGCCTCTCACACAGGGTCCTTCACCAGCCAGCCCTCACCTTCATGTGCATACACCCCCTCATTGACCCAGAGCAGAGGACATAAAAACAACACCACCAAAAGCAGGACCAAAGGAAGGCAGGGGAAAAACATGAAGATGAAAATAATAAAAGAGTGGGAAAAGAAAAGAAAGGGGGGAAAGGAAATAAAAGGGCTTCTGATTCAAATATCCTGAGAAGAGCTCTGCAGCCCAGACGTAATGAAGGGACGCAGAGGGCATAGCACTGCACGTATTGGAAACTCCCCGATGCAGTCGCCATGAGCGGAGGTATCTCTGTTTCTTTTAAGATGTATCTGAATTTGGACTTAAGAAACAGACGTGTTTTGGAAGAAAGAGAATGGTAACCTGCGAAATGAATCAGCCACTGAGTGCCAAGGTTTTGATCTGGATTTGTGATTTGGCATGATTTGGCATCAAATTAATGTGGCCTCCATAGGATTGTTATTAATGAAACATTTTAAAAATTGATTTTTTAAAAAAAGACAGTTGGAAATGTTGACCCTGCCTTCTATCAGAAGAAAAGTTAGCTTTTACCTGTCTGCTTCACTGACACAGATGCCAGAGAGTGTAGTGATGTCCTCAGCATTGCTCTCTGTTTCATGGGCCACACTTAAATCCATCCAACTCAGGAGTCTTGTGCCTGGGTGGGGCTTTGGAAAAACGTATCCCGGGGCTTCATAGAACAATGGGTACATCTGTGCCCTTCCCCTGTTCAGAACATTTAAGAAAGGGTACGAAAGAATTCTAAACTAAAATGTAGGATTTAGGATCCTTACCGGTAGCTGCTTTAAAAGTCTGGCAATCGCTGAGCCATTTGGTTCAGCGCTGACATCCTCAACTAGCCAGTCCGAAGGAGAGGTTTTAGCAGATAGAACATAGTGCATTGATTTAAGATAGGAGCAGGAATTCTTCAGCGTTAAGACAAGAGTTACCACTTCACATCGGAGAGATCCCAATGCGATCACAGCTATGGTGGTTTTACCCTAGGGATGTTTATGAAAAAGCATAACATTACTTGGTCTCCAACATAGATGAATATAATTAGCTTCCCATCATGGGATGGATCTACACACGGGGGGAAACCCACTATAAATAAGTCAGAAATTAAATCGTTATAACAAAAGAAAACAAACACTATGGAAAATCGCAAAGAATTTTGTGTTTTTCCCCCAGCACCATCTGGTGTTGCATGTTTATAACGCACTCAAAGAGCAGGGGTTGGCAAACTAAGGCCTGTGGGTCAGATAAGGCCCAAGGGGCTCTTTAATCCAGCCCAAGGACTCTGCTGCCCACTCGGTCAGTCCCCGTGCTAAACTGATATCTCACCACGCGGGGACTGACTTCCATGATGGGCGTGTGGGTGGCTATGGATTGGCTTCAGGAAGCTCCCGCAGCCAATTCTAAGCCGCAGACGCCTCTGGGCAGGCAGCAACGCTGGCCAATTCAAAGCCGTGCCAGGTTTCCTCAGCTCGTGGGCGGTGAGGCTTCGGATTGGCCAGCGAGGCAGCCATGGACAGAGAGGCCCATGGGCTCATCGCAGGGCTTCGGCTAGAGCTTGGCATGCCTGCTGGCCCCGTGCCTGGCGCCTGGGAAAGCTCTTCCAGAAGCGAGAACTGCCGCCACCGCTGCCGGCTCCCAACCACCGCCAGAGGAGGTAGGAAATCGGGGAGGGAGGGGCTGGGGGAGAGAGAGAAGCCCCCTCTGCTGGTGTGTGTGGTCCAGCCTGCCAGAAGATTAAAGGGACAGTGAGCCAGCCCGCTGGTAGAAAAGGTTGCTGACCCCTACCATAGAGCCTTATCCATGCAAGCATGGCTGTTGACGTAAGGCATTTGCATTCATTTCGCCAGCACAGCGTGTGTGCATTGTACATACTAGAAGAAATCCAAATTCTGTCTTCCATTGGAATAGTTTTAAGAATTATCATATGACAAATGTTTCTCAAACAGGAATAATAAATATTATTAATCTAATACTCCAAAACAAACGTATGACAACAATATATCCATATAAAGACAAGGGTCACACATCAGGTAAAGATAGAATAATAGAATCATAGAACTGTAGAGTTGGAAGCGACCTTGAGACTCATCTAGTCCAACCCCCTGCAATGCAGGAATACGCAGCTGGTCCATACAGGGATTGGACCTGCAACCTTGGTGTTATCAGCACTATGGTCTAACCCAGTGTTTCCCAACCTTGTGCCTCCAGCTGTTTTTGGACTACAATTCCCATCATCCCTTGTCACTGGTCTTGCTAGTCAGGGATGATGGGAGTTGTAGTTCAAAAACAGCTGGAGGCACAAGGTTGGGAAACACTGGTCTAACCAACTGAGCTATCCAGATAGGTGGGACTGAGCCCCATTCATAACAATAGACCTACAGTACGACCACATCATACATGCATTTAACTTGCCTGATTTCAACCATATGCAGTTGAAGTCTGGCTGGTTGAAATCTTGCAAGTTGAATAAGGAGCTGGCAGGAGGCGAGCACCTTGCTTGAGAAGCAAGGCAGAGAGCTTAAACGCTATTTTTGCACCAGGAAAATCTGAAGCAAAAAAGAACTTTTAAGCTATCGCTGCCATGCTTTGCCTATCTGCATGACTGGTCTGGGGTGCTCCTGAGAGATTTTAAGAGAACTTGGATGAGATCTCGCAAGAGCACTTCAGGGCTTCTGGAGTCCCAGGATGCTCATGAAGGGGTCCAGTTCCAATGATTTGAGAATACACATTTTTGCAGATATGCAGACTGCTTTGAACGGAATGCCTGTGTAAGATACAATTGCACTGTAGTCATTAATAACTTGCATCCCATTGCTTTCAGTAAACCTTGTAGTGTAGTCTTATACCATATAGCTGTGTCTGTGCTAAACTGGTGCCTGAAGGTGATTAGGGGTAGGGAGAGGGCTATTAAAAGGAGTGTAACACTATGAGTGGCTGGTTTTTGTATCAGTGTTGCGTTCCCCCCAAAGGCTGCCAATTAGTGCTGCTTTGACCTATGAAGCCTTAAACGGCTCAGGACTATAATACCTCAAGGACCACCTCGCCCTATAAAAACCAACCAGGACCCTGCAGTCATTACCTGAGGCCCTTCTGCATGTGCCTTCTCTACAAGAGGTCTGGAGGGTGCCATCGCAAAAGCGGGCCTTTTCTGTGGTAGCTCCATTTGTGGAACGCTCCCCTAGGGAGGCTTCCCTGGTGCCTTCATTGCATATCTTTAGTTGCCAGGTGAAAATGTTTCTCTGGCGTTTGGCTGATTAACATTTTATAGCTTTTAAAATGTGCTTGTGCTTGTGGGAGGGGGATTGCAGGCCCGTGCGCAGTGTGCCTTGGGAACTGGGAAGTAAGCAACAAAAACGACATGAGAAGAACTTGGAAATAAATTGGCCATGAGGTTTTGGCTTAGGCATTGGGTGTGTATCCCAAATCATCCTACCTGACTGCTGGATGATTATTCACAATGTCAGTCCTGGGTTAAGGGTCCCCTCAAGATGCTGGTAAACTAAGCTGACAGCCCCTGGCCACTGAACGGAAGACCTTGGCCCATCACCCCCACCTCACGTCATCTGGACCTTCGGATTTCAACCCAGACGCCTTTACCAGGGTACCCTGAGATTTTTACATGTCCAACAGGAGAGGCTCCCTCTCACCCCCAGGTTACACTAAGTATCCAACCCAATGCCTTTTCCCAGCACACAAGCTGGCCCCTCTCTGCCAGCTCACCACCAAACCTACTAACATCTGCAATGAATGCCCAACACATCTAGCAACCAAGTCTCATTACTCTACAATTTCTAGGGTTCTGTGAGGAAAGCCATAGCCTAAACTGGTCTAAAACCAACATAAGTTTGTTTTGTACAAAAACACGGGAGAAGATTGCTAACATAGTTTTTTGGAGTCTGAATGCACATTAAAGCTGCGTGTACTTTATCAAGGTACTCTGAAAAGAGCTGTCGGCATTTTACCTTTTCAAAAAATCTACTATGAACAGTGATATCGATTAAATTGCTATTGTTGTCGTCATAATAAGTTTTTGTTCTCACATCCAGTAGAGAAGGCCTTCCAATTACAATGTGAATTAGCCTATTATGAAACACATTATACGCTGTGGAAGGAAACAACAATGAGAATGATGTTTATTTCCAATATTTCTTTCCTGTAGAACAACCTCACACAAAAGGCAAAACTTAGCTCCACTCTGAGACTGCAGTTGGGTTGAAAAATACTTGAGGATTTTGGCTGATTCCAGTGTACCCTTACTTCATATACATCTGTGTACAAATGCACATCAAAATGAGAAATCCATATGAAAGATCTGTAGGCAGGATGGGAGTCAATAGGATTAAAATATATGTAAAATACATTTTCTTGAATTTCAGTTAAATTATTAGAGTGAGGATCATAACTTATAAAGAGTTTGCTTTCATATGATTTCAAACACTTTCAGACATTTTATAGAGAATACATAGAGTAGAGAGACAAGAAATATATGCAGTCTTACCTACATTAATTGGAGTCACTCTGAATTTCAATTCCAGCTTTGACCCAATATCCAAGTATTTAATGGCATGGCGTGGTAGGTCATCAAACTGTTGTATTGTATATCTACATATGTCAACAACAATTTTCCATTTTCTTTTATTTACAGTGCCAAAGTCATACAAGAACCACCTCCCAGGTGGAATGTCTGTATTTAAAAGCAACCTATTAGGCATGGTAGCATCTCCTAAAGCATTTTGGTCATTCACAACTTGAACAATGAAGAAACTGCTACTGCCTGGAATCACCACTGTTTTCTCAAGATCGGTTGGTTTAAATATATTCACACCTGGAAAACAAGAAAATAATGAAAACATCATTCAATGTGCAGAAGCTGCATTTCCCTTTGTTGTTGTCAGTTCGAAAGCACCCCCGGGTGCAAGTAGATAAATAGGGACCGCTTACTAGCGGGAAGGTAAACGGCGTTCCGTGTGCTGCGCTGGCTCGCCAGATGCAGCTTGTCACGCTGGCCACGTGACCCGGAAGTGTCTAAGGACAGCGCTGGCTCCCGGCCTATAGAGTGAGATGAGCGCACAACCCTTGAGTCTGTCAAGACTGGCCAGTACGGGCAGGGGTACCTTTACCTTTACCTTTTTACACAAAAGATAAACTGACCTGAAGCTATGGCTTCTTTGATATAAAGTTTAGATTCTTAATTTTTGACAGACTGCCACTACCTGTGTGGCTCTCCTAGTCAACAGCAGCCCTGTAACTCCCACAGCTCATAAAACTTTTTATTTTGCTAGAAACCTCAGAAATGCAGGCAGTGTCAAGTGAAGGCTGAAATCCCATGCTTCATTCACAGGCTGGAAATTGGGGGCTCTTTCTCTTCTTTTTATGGGGCTACCAGATTAACTCCTTACCTTACTTTTCTGGGATACACCGTCCATATCCTTCCTTCATTTTGCCATTTTGTCTCCATAAGAAAATTATGAATTTACACATAGTTGGAGACTGATTGGCTGGCTGTTGGTTTAGGAAGGGGATATAGTAGAAATAAAAATGACTGGATGGCGAGGCACATATAAAAGAGGCCACATAGGAAATTAGGAAATGCTGGGCAGGGGCCACCACCATGCAACCTATCGTAGATGAATAGTATTCCCTACAATTCTTTTCCTATATATTTCCCCACTTAAGTGTGATTAGCATAAGCCACAGACCCTCCTTCCAAAAACTTTTCATTATCAGGTGGTGCACAAACCTGGAGAAGTCAGCTGAAGCCTGTATGATATACTGGTCCCTGTAGGGGGCAAAACTCTTAAAGTATTTGCTGTACAAGGGCTATCAAGTTTAGATTCAACAGGAAACCGATCAAGAACATCTACCAGTACAGATGATATAAAGCCCGGAGGAGCTGGCGTCCTAAAAACCTCTCTGATTATACACGATCCTCCTGGCCTAAATTAAAAAGAAGCATACATTTAATACCACCTTGATGATGTCAGATCACACATCTAATGAATTTTAACGAATTTCGACTAGTTCCTAACATTCCCTTGCTGGAAAATAGTGCTAAGAGAAAATTGTGATTTCAAGCATGTCAGCTGGCACAGGACTGCTGTTCAGCAGCTATTTCTGATATTTTGAATCATTATGATTTTGTATTGAATTGCAGTAATTGTTTGATGAATTTGTCTTTAGCTTTATATTCTCCTGTACTTTGAATTTACTACCATGATCACAATGTCTGTTAACTTGTAATGGTATTATTGTTACTGTGAGCCACTTTTAGCTCAACAGTTATTGTGGGGAAAGCAGAATACAAGTATTAAATCAAATCAAAATCAAATGTATTTCTTATTACACGAAAATACCCCTTAATCTCCATGTTTGGTACACCTAGTAGGTGCAATACTTCATGGGCCATATTATCTGAACCTGTTCCTTCTGGCTCTAGCAATATCACATCCCTGGAAGACAGCAGACTCCAGCAGCCTTTGCTCCCAAATGTGGTGGTGGGTCCCCATCCCCCCCAGATGAGGAAGCAATGGGAAAACCATGTCATCATCATACACACTGCAGGAACCGTTTCCAACTTCCGACAACACACACATCACCTACTGATATATTTTTGAAGCCTACAAGTTTTGTTTGAAACTTGTATTACACGATATACGTTGCAAATGTTAGTACAAAGTGGTTCTAAGAGCAGGCAGAACAAGAAAGTGGCAACCCTCTGAACAATTTAACCAAATTAGAGAGATGCTATTTTGCTATATTCTGTAAAATAGCAGGGTACATTAAAAAGAAAAAGCCAACAGAACAAGACATTGCTTGTTAACAAAACATATGCTGTTATTGATACTTACCCATAATCTAATCTTTTGCCTCTTTGCAGATTACTGAATCTCTCACGTTTTGTTGCTATCAGTGGCTCGTGGTTTAAAAGTAACATCTGCTCTTCAGTGATATACTGTACAGCCAAAGGAAATTCAAAACCTAAGTCAATATCCTGGAACAAAGTGAGAAAATTATATATATATATATATATATATATATATATATATATATATGCTTTCGTAGATTTTCACGGGTACAGGAATGCAGGTTTTGGTGTCCTCGGGTGTCTTCCCGTGTAAAATATATATATATTCATGCGTTTATAGATACAAAACTTGCTAAACAATTTTAGGAATAAATAGGAATTTTAAAAAAGATAATTTAATTTATAATAGCAATCAGAAGAGAAATTGCTTAGAAACTGCGTTTCTTTATAACAAGAGGTAATTCACATATCCCCTCTGCCCTCAAGGTCTTCAACGTCAAAGTTATAGCTCAATTGCTCTACTGAATTCCAGTCTGGCTGCCAGGGTTTACCCAGCCGGTAGAATGAGTGCAGGCAGCTTGTGTCTAGAGGAGGTCAACACAAGGTAGAGACTGCAGCCTGGGCGAGATTTCTTACATGCTGGTTAAACATCTGCCTCACAACAGATAAAGATCCTCTCCTTAGTGAAGTTTTGCTAGATCCCTTTCTTTCCCCAGGACTACAACGGTTTAACATAAAGGGACAGCAACTTGTTCTTAAATGTAAACTATATGTTGATCTCCGCCTGCAGTTCCTAGATCAACTCTGCATCCCCAAATGGAAACCAGAGTTAGAGGTCATACATTTTCCATTATTGGGGAACAATCAGGAGCTCACCAAGTTAGTGGCTAAATATCTTTATCTGTTTTTTTGTCGTCAAAACACATTGCAGACGTCTGATCTCCCTGGAGACCTAGAGATGTAATGTTAGATTGCTTTGTCTCTTTCATTTGACAAATGTTTTGTGTCACTGGGAAGGCGGAATTCTGTATTGATTGCTATGAATGTTGGTATGTGATGCCAATAAAAGGTTTGATGATGATGAAACTGGTAATTAAGCAGCACAGACATAGCTGCAGTAATCACAAAGTAATACTGATAGTACTAAATTTCTCCCTAGTTTCTCTTAAATTTCTAATGAGTACAAGACTATGTTTTTAAAAATCAGTATTTGCTCAGGGTCCTGAAGATAATGGTAGGAGTCAGTTAAAGCTAAGCACTTTCAAGTCCCACTTGAAAGAAGTGAAGGAGTTGAAGGTGGCAACTTAGTTGAAGCATTATGTGACTTTGCCTGTGCTAAGGGGGTGGGGCAAACTCAATGGTTTTCTGGAAGTTTCATTAATGCAATCCCTCGGCATATAGGGCACATATACAGGAAATATGGTTCGGATTGAGCTATTGGGACCCGACTGCGCCGCTGAGGCCCACCGCCTTTCAAGGTGTTGCTGCCTGGCCAGGCAGGAGCAATAGCCAATGCCCAGACTGCCAGCTTTAATGGTCCTTCTTGGCAGGGAATCGACCAGGGTTCCTGGGACTGGGGAGAGATTTCCTGCAATGACTGGAGCACGTGAGGCCAGGGCTCGAGGGACCACAAACGTCGCCCCCTCCCCCCCCTCAGAAAGCAGTGAGCAGCTATTTTTTTCAGGAACCACAGAATTGTCTTTCCTGCTGTAACCCATTATAATGGTGGCTTTTCTGAAATCAACTTTTAATTTTTTTAAAAAAAGAATTAAATCTATTATAAGTACATCTGGATAGTGGTGAAAAAATGCTGGATTAATGACTCCACTGTCAATTCTAGCACTAGCTTCCTACTTTGACATGTTGGAAGAGTGAAGGTTTGTCCTTACAAGAACAACAATTATTACAATCTTATAGACATTTTTCATTCACACATCAAAAGCATACTTAACCTTCAATAAAGTGTCCACATCCACACTCGTCTCTTTTACAAATGAGTCAATTGTATGATTCAGAGAAATATGATTTAATATTCCCAGGTGGTCAAAGTACATGTTGAAGATACCCTTTGCCGGGGCGAAAACCTTGGCATATCTCAGTAAACCTACAGAAAAGGGGGAATATAAATAATGGGCATGCATCAAATCTTATTATTATAGGAAGCATGAGTTTATTCTAGAACAATAGGTTTCTGTGAATATTTGGAGAGATCAACAGCTCTTCCAACTCATATTTAATCAATGCAATGAGGAAATAGATCATTTTGATGAGGATAAAGTATATCTAAATTATGCAACTTCAGACAATAGTTCCTAAGGGCCAGGATCTAACAAGGTCATATGTGGTCAAATACTTTGAAGCATGCAAGGAGGTGCTGTTCCTTTTTGGAAGCAGCTCCTTGTGCCTCATGGTCTAAATGGATTGGTCTGCGATGGAGGGTTTTGGAAGGTGGGGGTAGACAAGATAATAGCCTTTGCTGCTGGTCACCCAAATTCCTGCAATCTCACTTAAGATAGAAGTCATAGAAGATGCAGTGAATCTATGTCTCTAGTCTACATGGTTCTTGGTTTGGGCACCCTTAGGGCTCCCTGGTTCTGCCCAGCAGAGAGTGAATTCCTTAGGTGCATCAGGTGCTTCCACTTGTTTCTCCTTACCTAGCTATGAGAACACATAGGTTGGGGGACCTGGTTTCTTGGCCTAATCTCATATTTGAGTCTTCAAAGACTGCAGGAGACTCCCCTTTTTAATGTTTTCCTACCTGCCTTAGTGTACAAAAGGTTTGCCGCGTCAGTCACAAATATAATCGCTTGGGTGTAAACACATGAATCTACATCTATAACCATCTCAGCATTTAAAGTAAATAATGGTGCAAAATTGATGCCTCCATCATAAGAAATCCACACCTAAAAGGGAGGGGGAGAGACAATAAAGAATATTGTGTAAGAGATCTTTGTTGGCATCCATCTGTCTTGAGAGACAATGGAATGCGCCTCTAGGGGTGAAGTCAAAGCACTGTGTTAGCAGCACTGAAGTGACCTCCTAATAATAATAATAATAATAATAATAATAATAATAATAATAAATTATTATTTGTACCCCACCCATCTGGCTGGTTTCCCCAGCCACTCTGGGCGTCTTCCAACAAAGATTAAAAATACATTAAAATGTCACACATTAAAAACTTCCCTGAACTTCCCTGCCTTCTCTTTGACATCTGATTGGAGGGCGTTCCACAGGGCGGGCGCCACTACCGAGAAGGCCCTCTGCCTGGTTCCCTGTAGCTTTGCTTCTCACAGAGGGAACTGCCAGAAAGCCCTCGGCGCTGGACCTCAGCATCCGGGCAGAATGATGGGGATGGAGATGCTCTTTCAGGTATACTAGGCTGAGGCTGTTTAGGGCTTTAAAGGTCAATACCAACACTTTGAATTGTGCTTGAAAATGTACTGGGAGCTAATGTAGGTCTTCCAGGACTGGTGTTATATGGTCTCAGCGGCTGCCCCGTCATCAGTCTAGCTGCCGCATAGTTGTAGTTTCCGTGTCACCTTCAAAGTAGTCCAAGTGGGAGATAACTAGAGCATGCACCACTCTGGCAAGACAGTCCGTGGGCAGGTAGGGTCTCAGCCTGCGTACCAGATGGAACTGGTAGACAGCTGCCCTGGATTCTGAATTGACCTGCGCCTCCATGGACAGCTGTGAGTCCAAAATGACTCCCAGGCTGCACACCTGGTCCTTCAGGGGCACAGTAACCATATTCGGGACCAGGGAGTCCTCCACACTAGCCCACCCCATCTTCCAAGAACAGTACTTCTGTCTTGTCAGGGTTCAACCTCAATCCATTAGCCACCATGCATCCTCCAACCGCCTCCAGGCACTCACACAGGACCTTCACCGCCTTCACTGGTTCCAATTTAAAAGAGAGGTAGAGCTGGGTATCATCCACATATTGATGAATACCCAGCCCAAACCCCCTGATGATCTATCCCAGCACCTTCATGTAAATGTTAAAAAGGGGTACAAGCCTGGGCAGTGAGTGTGGAGGTCGTGGGCTGCCCAGAAAAACAAGGCCCCCCTCTTGGTCTTGCTGATGTGGTCCAAAGGAAAGCAGGGCAATATGTTTGGCACCAACTTGATTGCAGGAGTTTCTGGAAAGAGGTGTACCAGGAGTTATCCAAGCATCTTAGGGATTCCAGACCAGATTTGTGTAGGGTTTGCTCCTTAGCCTTTTCTTCTCCCTAATATATCCCACAATGCAGCAGAGGTTTAGGACCAGAGTTTTCCTTCCCTTAGATCGGCCATCTTACCAGGCTGACGAGCCTCACCTGCCCCTCACGTCCTTCTACAGAATGTGCAGAAACCGTCTACTTGACCGCTGGACTCATAATGGGTTTTATTTGCTCAATCAACCACAGCCTGTCTTCACAAGCAGGGGAAGTCCCTAACTCAGCAAAGGTTTGAAACCCACCAGCAACCCTCACCTGGTTTAGCAGGTCACTCAAAGCCATTTCCTGGGGTGTGGTCGCTGTCACATACTGACAGCTAATAGGAGCCACAAGTGAGAGTTGAGCACAAGGTAGGAACTAAAGGTGGACAAACTACCCCAGAAGGAGCACAAGGTGTCCCCCAACAAAGGTACTCCTCCTTCTCTAACACCCCATCATTTGAAATACCTAGAAGCACCCACTACATTGTCTTGAAGATGCTGACGAATATTTACAAAAAGTCACATAGATGCAGACTTCCAAGGGAGAGGAGCGGTGGTTTGGCTGTCTCTCTGTTAGCTCCTGACTATTAACCACTCTGAAGATAAGGGTGATCTGGGAGTTATGCTCAAATGAATGAATATTCAGAAACAAGTCACTGGACAATATATCCCACAGGATAGCAACTCTGTTGCATGCCTGCAGAACTCAGATTACATGCATCTTACTCAAGCACATCCAGCAAGTCAACTTTTGACCAGCGTGCAGGACAACACACCTTTCAATCACCCAACATCATGACCATGCCAGGGGCAGTCAGGTGAGCCGTCCCAGGCACCTGCCCAAATTTGCATTGAAACTGCTGCCAAATCAGAGCCTTTTCCTCTCCGCTGTAGCAGCAGTTTCAATGCAAACCGCTTTCTCTTCCTGGAGCAAGATGTGCTCTCACTGCCCACCAGAGTCAAGACACCCATATTTTTTTTTAAAAAAGAAATTAATAATGGTTTGATGTCTTAACCCAGGTGTGAGACAGCTTAGCAATGTAAAAATGCAGGCTGAACCATCATGCAGGACAAAGGAAGATTACCCTAGCCACAAGCTAAGTACAGAGCCATTAAGAAACAAGATGGGGCCACTGGCAATCCAAGAGAACTGTCCTCCCCTCCCGCCCCCCACCCCCAAATATAAACAGAGACAGGATATTTGGAAGGTTGCCAGGGTAACTGGGTGTGATGTCACAAGAAGAGTTTGGGGCTTTGGGCAGGAGGCTTGGAACAGAAAAAGGAAAGGAGCACGATCTTGGCAGGCAGGCCGCGGGGAAGCTGGGAGAGATGCCTTGGACTGCAGTGCTGGGGGGCGGGGAAGCCTCTCTTGAGATAACTGTGCTGTTAAGATCTGGAAACCCTCCATCTAAATTCAGGTGTAACTATGTGAATAAATCCTACCTCTTAAAGCTATGACAGCCTCCACTCAAACTCTCCAAGTGTCTCCATTTCCCAGGGATGTCCTCATTTAGAGAAGCAATCCCCGTTTCTGATTTGATCCAGAAATATCCCAGTTTTCCTTAGGATATCCTTATTTTCATTGGAAAAATGTTGGATGGTATGGAGTTATCTAACCCCCGAGCTGTATGAAGGCAATCCATAGGGAAGTTGGTTTTTTTAATGTTTAATGTTTTATTATGTTTTTACATACGTTGGAAGCTGCCCAGAGTGCTGGGGCAACCAAGTCAGATGTGTGGGGTATAAATAGTAGAATTATTGTTATGGAATGAGGGGTTCCTATTTTCATCGGAGAAATGTTGGAGGATGTGTGACTTCTGTGTCTTGATTCTCAAGGGAAACACGGCGGCAGGGTGAGAGTCTGGAACCCCCAGAATCCTGCTACCGCTTGACAGAGGTTGGGGGTTGGCATGCCACCTTTGCAACACTATGTGCCAGTTGTTAATACACTTTCCTTCTTACAAACCTGATTGCCATATGCATACAGAAAATGGCTGTTTGTGTGAAAATACAATCCATTTGGTATAAATCGCGGATCTGGAAACCAGAAGGCTGGGAATTTTCTTTTTTTATTCATGCTGCCGTCTGTTAACTTATGCACTGATATCAATGCCCGATTCTAGGAAGAAAAAGAAGGAAACACAGTTAAACATATGCATTATCAAAGAAAGAAATGATACAGCAGAAATACAGTGTCTAAGCAGAGTGTTAGGACTGGGCAGGTATAGTTGCCTAACGAGAGCCAATTCATACCTGGTTAAGACCTTCTCATTGCCAAGAAGGCGTTCATTCATAGCTGTCAACGTTTCCCTTTTTTTAAGGGAAATTCCCTTATTTCGAATAGGATTCCTCGCAAGAAAAGGGAAAAGTTGACAGCTATGTGTTCATTGTAGGGAAGCCCCTGGTTCATCATTTAAAGGTAAAGGTAAAGGGACCCCTGACCATTAGGTCCAGTCGTGACCGACTCTGGGGTTGCGGCGCTCATCTCGCTTTATTGGCTGAGGGAGCCGGCGTACAGCTTCCAGGTCATGTGGACAGCATGACTAAGCCGCTTCTGGTGAACCAGAGCAGCGCACGGAAACGCTGGTTACCTTCCCACCGGAGCGGTACCTATTTATCTACTTGCACTTTGACGTGCTTTCGAAGTCCCAGCAGGAGTGTCAGCTTGGCCACACGACCGTGGGCGCCCAGGGTTGTGGGTGACATGCAGCATGCTTGGTCCTGACACCAAAATTTGTGGGTGCCCGGCCCCTTCATGGAGAATTTTGTGGGTGTTTGGGCACCCAGGGCCCCAGGGAATTGGCACCTATGATTCCCAGAATCAGAACTTTTAGTTAGCTGAATGCCCTCCTGCCTCAGAGGGAAGGAAAGACTGGCCAAGAGCAATTAAACAACAACACACTTTTACTGACCTTAAGAATGCAGCAGAAGAGGTGCCTAGATGCAATCTATCTGGGCACTTCCTCTGCCTTCTAAGGGGCAATCAAAAATATATTGCCTAATTATTGTTCTAAGGGAGGGAGAAGGCATCTGTGGCATTTGTAACTGACAAAGAAAAAGAGATGTTTTAGAAAAGACAACAGTTGCAGGGATCAGAGCACCAGAAGATACAATGCCTCATTTTAAAATGTTTCCTTTTTAAAACATCACCATAGCCATTGTTTTGGAGAAAATTTCCAACATATATATTGGAATCATGGAACTGAAAGGGAACAGAAGGATCTATATTCTTCAGAAAGGCATTCATAGACTACCTGTGAACTTAGGTGAACTGTGGAAGTTTATGTGTTAATTAGTTAATCAATATCCCACCACTCCTCCTGAAGGAACCCAGCTTGGCAGTGGGGTGGGGAGGGAGTTGAGGCTATTGCAGGACACAGGTTTGATATTGGTGGGTCAGCCAGGGAAAATGGGGAGAGGGGGCTTTCAATCAGTTGTCCCATCCATTGCTAATTGCCCCCTTTCTTGCACCAAACCATAAATCACATCACAAAAAATGAGAATCCATTCTAAACAAGAGCAGCAAATTGCCATCTGTTCAGAGTTATCAATTAAATAGTAATTAAATCAGAGTCCTTTGGTGCACTGTACCTGTTGAGATAACAAAGCGATGCCAGTGTTCTGTTCATAATCAACAAGAAAAGAAACCACCCGTCTGGATAAGTGCCTTTCACCTTTCATTTTGTGAGGCAAGCAGCTATGCCATTTTTGAAATGTATCATTGCTATAGAAACAAGTGGATTCCTGTTTTTTTAATAAGAAAAAAAACAACAAGAAGAAAAGGATGCAAAGTAATCGATTTAGAAATACATCATTGTTCGAACTTAAAAGCTTTGCTAAAGAATCCACTGAGCTCTGAATATACAGGAGTGGCTAGTGGGGAGGGGCAATGGTGTGTACCTGGCCTCCTAGCAGGACAGCCACTGCCACTGACCAGAAGGGAGAAGTGGAGGGCCAAGGCAACAGAAAGGTCAGAGCTGTACGGTGCACCAGCATGATGATGTTGATGATGATGCACCCATGCAGCAGTGGTTTCCCCATTACCTTGCCCCTCCTGTCCTCCTTCCTGGTAAGTGGCAGCAACTCGCCGTGTCAGTGCTCCACTCAGCAGGCCTCTCCTGTATAAAGCAAACAAGAAGCAAAGCAAGAAGATTTTACAAGAGCAAGGGCCAAACTGCACATTATTGATGCTTTTAAAAAAGTACACACAGGTCCTGCTAACCAAACACTATGCATTCCCTGGAAATCATTCTATGGGCAAGCATTCACATCATTTCCATCAATTCCTGTGCGAATGTTTCTAACCGTGGTCTTTGTATGATCTCACCCCCACCCCCATCCTGTCTCTCCATGGTTTCTTCCTGAGATGGCTGCAGCTTAACAGCAAAAGAAAGACAAAGGGGGGAAATGAATTGTTGAATCTCTCCTGCTCTGATTTGTCTGATCTCTCTCTCTCTCTCTCCCTCCCTCCCTCCCTCCCTGCATGGTTTCTTCCCCCAAATAGCTGCCACCGACTAGCAAAGCACAAAGATGCAAGGAATTAAGAAAGTGGGTAAACTCCAGATGTTCAGATATCTGAATCTGTGGAGTGTATAGTGAGGCATAGAATAATTCTTTACATTTGGACATTTTGTGAATTTTTGCATGGCTAGAAGGCAGAAAGTAGGCCTGTGTATATGTTTAAACTGATAGAATTTTCTGCCAGAAACTGTTGTGGGACTCAGAAGCCTAGATCAGAAGCCTGTTCTGGATTGGAGCTCTGAACCTGCTTTTTTGGACCCACAATACTGAACCAATGGCCCTTGGTGAATACAAGCCATGTGGGGACCCCAAACAGTGACTCCTCCAAAGCCCTCAGTGATCAGGTAGTGATCAAAAGGTTGAGATGCTCCTTGTGGTATCATAAGCTCCTTATGCTACAAGCTAAGGGCTTTGTAAATAAATACAAGAACTTTGAACTTATCCTAGTAGCATATGGCAGCCAGTTCCCTAAAAGCTCTGATAGCGACCACAAAAGCTTCCAGTAATAAATTTGCTCAACTGTCCTTTTGATTTCTGAACATTAATTTGCCAAGGTGGCCAGAAAGTTAAATTATGTACTGAACAGAATGCACCAAACCCCAACTATATTTTCATAAGGTTTTATCATCATTTGCCTTACCTGGCTCAATGACTTATCTTTGTTGAATGACAGACCAACATAGTCCGCTGCAAGAAAAGCAGAAATATAATAGCTACAACTCAGTGCTTGCACTTCTAAAATATAGTTTACAAAAGGCATCAACCCAGTTTCATGTGAACAGTTAAAAAGAACTCAGGGTGAAATTTTGAAATTATTTTTGTTACATGCCTTAAAATATATAAGTGTGTATGAGCGGAGAGGCATGCTCTCTGCCTTGAGCTGGTTTATTGCAGGCAAGCATTGCGGGAGCACTCTTTGCCTCCACTTACACTATGGAGTTTTGCAGGGTGCTATTTTGTCCCCCATGCTATTCAACAGCTACATGAAGACATTGGAAGCAGACATTAGAACATTAGATGACACAGCTATATTTCTCCATAACGTTGGAGAACCCATGGATTCAAGTTACACATTCAACACATATAAATCACTTTTTTTTTACCAATCTAGCTGAGTCCCTGGTTTCCTTACTTTCATATAATTCTTTATTAGCTAGACACTGGCGGCTGTACCATATTTCAGCTTTAAGATAATCATCCTGTGGGCGGAAAAAGACAAGGAAATACTTAGCATGCCAAGTGAATTTACATAGTATAACTGTTAAGATTCTGAAAGGGTCTGCTGAGTCACAAGTCGTCCTTTCTAACTATCACACATGGCCTAAAAACCTCTGTGGAGCCAAGGAAGACAGTGGACAATACTGTCCAATGTCAGAAAACAGCACTAGCTTTCTAGTTTCTAGTGGCAATGCCAGTGATATTAGTAGTGGTGCTGGTGGTGGAACAACTCAAGAGAATTGATGGCCAAAAGTAGACAGAATTACAGAGATGTCAGAAGCAGAGCAAGATGTAGTTGAGATACCAACTTCCCCAAGATCTCATTCCAGCTCCCAATGATAGTCATGAGAAAAGAAAACTACCCCACTGCCTCTTTCTGTTCTTCTCATGCAGCACAGAATTCTGATTTAACACATTGACAGCTGTTTATATAACCTTGTCAGGGAATTCACAGATCAAAGGATAGCTATATGGCCTCAATGGGACCCAATTCCTCTTGTCCTCTGAAATTATAGCACACAAGTGGAAACTAGCAACTGGAACTATACAATGCAGTATCCTGTGTCTTGCTTTCAAAACTCACTGTTTTATCACAGTAATTTATATACTGCTTAATTGCAATAGCCTCTAAGCAATTTACAAACGTTTTTGTGAGTTATAGCTCTATTCTCTGTATTAATGGGAATGGGCCAAGAGGGATCTCTTCCCCCAACCCTCATTCAGCTTGTTACTCCAGCAATCTCCAGGATGGCCCCGTGACCGGGACAAGAGTAAAAGGAGTTCATCTACACACACCCCTCAGCACAGCAATTCCTCTGTGAACTGCGACTGTGATAAACCAGTAGTAGTAGTAGTAGTAGTACTGCTAATATACCGCCCTATAACTGCAGATCTCAGGGCAGTTCACAACAATAAATTTCAATTAAAAAACGCAGATTATATAATAAAAACAAAAACAAAGACAGCCCAATAATTCCCCTGTCTACAAACCATGCAGTTGGTTGGCATGGGGGGTGGGGTGGGGTGGGGGTGGAGAAATGAAGTTCAGTGTCTTCTGAGAATATAAAAAGCAAGGCGTTGGCTATCAAGCAACTGATTCCTGTGAGTTTTCCTGTCAATTGTGTTGTCGCTAGAAAGCTATGTTTATTGGGCTCTGTGTGTGGGCCTGCAAGCTTCTGTCTTCTATGTGTCATCGAGGTAGGTGAGGGCATGGAAGCAACACAGCTGACTTGCAGGTGTCAGTTGCCTAGCATACAGAGATTGCATTGTGTCAGTGCTGGGGTGTGTGTGTGTATCACAATATATTGTTATGTTTTCTCTCCTTTAGAGTGCTGCCATTTACATTTGAACTTGCAGCTGGAAATGCATAGTATTCTGACAACACATTTGATGTCAATACTAAGCCAATGTTAGCATTCTGCCCAGTGTACCAGGGTCTCTGGATTTCATTGTTAGGATCCGTATACTACATGATTTATGATCCTTGGGACACTTATTTCTAAATGGCTAACAAAATGAATGCCGGAAAGAGTTTCAGAAAACATTATTTGTGAGATGCTACAAAAACACACCACTGAGAACAACAAACACAACATTTAGCAATTTCTCACCATTTCAAAGCCACATAAGGTTGGTTTGTTGAACTGAAATAAAACACAATAAGACCAAATTGTATGAATCATCACTTTCTTTCCCACACTTTTCACAAGCAATTTCACAAGTGTATTACTTTACATATTCATTTACCACTTACACTCAATATTATTAACATGGTCATTGGTTGTTTTGAGTGACATAAGAAGCCTGTCTCCACCAACAGCCTGGGGCAACCTAGCCAGGGCATGTACTTTTCCTGTGAGATAACAGGAAATAACCAATAGCTACAAACCAACAGCTAAAACACCTAAGGAAATCAAGTACCATACCCATCACTAAAAAGAATTCAACAATGGTGCCAGCAAAACTCTCTATGGAGAGGCTTCCAAAGACAAGGGGCTACAACAGAAAAGGCCCTGTCACAATCCCCTTCACTTCTAAAGGTAGCACTCCTAAAGCAGGGCCACAGAGATTGATCTTAATATAAGAGGTATCTATTAATTGCAGCAAAGCTACTGTTGGTGTAAAGAAAAAAAAAGAAAGGAGAAGTCCTGGATACCAAGATCCAAGTTTGGGGCAAGTACTCTTTATTGAGAGACCCCTGCAGATATTTAAAATCACAAAATATGTAGCAAAAGTGAAGCACAGGAATATGATAATAATTTTTATTATTTATACCCCGCCCATCTGGCTAGGTTGCTCCAGGCTGTCAAGACCTGTAAAATTTGTCCTTTCAAGTTCTTTCCAAAGTTTCCCACTTCCCCTAGCATAGAAAAAGACCACATGTTTGGTAAGGTTAAAATGGTTCACATACGAAGCAACCAGCTTAGCCTCTTCATACACTTAGTTCATCAGGTGAACTGGAGAGAGAATGATTAGTACACAGATTAACAACGCAATCCTAGATGTGCCTACCCAGACATAGTTCTCACCATGTTCAATGGGACTTACTTGCAGGGAAATGTGTATAGTAGGGTTATAGTCTTAAGCTGAACGAATTGTCTTCTGAGCAGACCTGTGTGGCATTGAACTGTTAATAGATTTCAGGAGGAGATCTTCCAAACTTAGTTTTTTCGCAGTATGCTTACCAGTGGTTTTTAAAACATTAGATGATTGGGGGAAGGGGACACAGGGATATTTAGAAGTACACACACGTACCTGCAACAGCTTTCCAGTTACAATGCGCAGATCATCACTGATAAATAATCCTAGTGAGGTGAGGAGTACAAGACGAGTATTTGTTACGGTGAGATCCACAAGCGCAAGTCCGTAACAATCTTGAGGAGAGAAAAGGCACTGTGAGTAACCTGAGTTGCATCTCTCAGACTTCCATCATTACTTGTTATAGACATGGCAAATTATACCCATATTGAGACACCCAGATCTGTTGGGCAATCCATGCACCTGATATGCATTTGAAGAAGGTCTAGATCTATGTGCTTTTAAGAGAGGGTGGAGTGATGAAATCTGCTCTTTCGAACCCTGCTCCTTTGCTGCATTATTTTTTAAAAAAAGATATAGCAAAGGCAAGTTCAGGGGGCAGCAAGAATAGAGGCTGACTTTTCTGACCCTGTCCATCTGACTGTGTTGCTCCAGCCACTCTGGGTGGCTTCCAACGTTTATAAAAAAACAATAAAACATTAAACATTTAAAAAACCACCTTCCCTATACAGGGCTGCCTTCAGATGCCTTGGGGGTCAGATAACTCCATACCCTCCAGTATTTCTCAGATGAAAATAGGGATATCCTAAGAAAAAGTGGGGCATTCTGGGATCAAATTAAAAACCGGGACAGCACCTGTAAATCTGGGACTGTCTCTGGAAAATAGGGACACTTGGAGGGTCTGCACTCCAGAGTAAAAAAAATGGCAACCCTGGGAACCACAGCTGAAAGCACTCAGTAGCCCAACATGCCAGATTCAAGGCTGGCGTCAGTCAAAAGCCCTAAACAGGCTGTAGAATCTGACCTGCCAGGGAGAGAAGACCCTAAATGCTGAGGGATGAGGGTTCCCATATCCAAGAAGCTGAAATTTGGGACCCAAGGAGGCAGAGATTCTTTCTTATCACTGTCCAAAGAAAAGGGATGAGGGAGGGCTCTCCAGATCCTAGGGTTTTGAACTGGACATCACACCACAACCTTCACTCTGAGACCTACAATTACTGTATTGGTCTGAATATAGGCCACACTTCCCCCTAAAAACTGGCTCACATAAAACCTGAGTGCAGTCTATGGTGACAATCTTATAAATAGAGAATCTATGTTTTGAGAGATCTCATTTTAGGGGTGTAGTCTATATTCGGACCAACCCTGTACATTCTATGAAAGTGCAACGTGTTCTAAGGCCTTGGGGTAAGACAGGCTACAAATAAAAAGGAAATGCATATGGGTTAATTAAACAATTGAAAATAAGAATTACCGTTTTCCAAGATGGCACAAATGGTAGCAGACAAGTTAAACCATACCGTATCCTCACCCGTAAATCCATTGTCAGTCAATCCTAAAATTAGTCCTTCAAATACAAAAGAAAACTAATCATTACATGAAAACTGAATCACAGTATAAAGCCAGGCTACCAGCATTTATTAAACTGTTATAAAGCTTCATATTTCCCAGAAATTTCAGCAGTGTAGCTGGTTTGGTTCGGAGGTTTCTCTGTGATATTTGAGTTTATTTACAAATATATGTTGAGTCTAGGTAGAAGAACAACCTATCACCCCAACAGCAGCAAAATCCACAAATAAGCACCCCTGTATCCACAGATGTAGTTACAGACCTTAAATACTCAGCTCAAACCTACTTGCACACACTGAAAGAAAGCATGTCTGCCTGCTTTACTAGTACCACATATCTAAGTTAATAAGCACAAGCAGGTGGCTCGGTATGGGGTGGGGTGGGTGACAGTTGCAAACATATCCCTGGCATATTCCTATGGTTATTGTAGAATACGCTGCAGTGTAGTGGTTGTGTCCTGTCCTCTCCTTCCCACCTGAGATTGGATGAGACTGGATACCATTTCAAAAAATGCATACCTACCATTTATTCCATCTATTTTGAATGCTCAGTATTCAAGTGTCATTGCTTGCCGAGCTAAAATAGTGCCAGCGATGCACAAGGTTTGCAAAACTGCAAATGATCTTTTTGTAAACAACAACAACAAAGTCTTATCCATTGCTGTGAGAGGGAATTGTCCATGAAAGCTGCACCAGGCCCTCTGAGAACAACAGAATGACAGCCTGGGTAGCTCAGTTGGTTAGAGTGTGGTGCTGATAACACCAAGGTTGCAGGTTCAATCCCCTGCATGGGACAACTGCATATTCCTGCATTGCAGGGGGTTGAACTAGATGATCCTCAGGGTCTCTTCCGACTCTACAATTCTGTGTGTGTAGAATGTTCTCAGTCCTGCTCCAAGGGGAACTTGCTCCTCTACTCCTTTCAAAGCACATGGCAGCAAGAAGGCCTTTCCCTGCTGCCTAGGGTTGCCATATTTCTAGAAGTAAAAGTTGCTGAGCTTTTTGGGAGAAACTCAGTCAACACAATGGGACTTACTTCTGAGTAAACAAGTATACTTATTTTAAAATGTTACATCCCACTTTACCCAGTCGGAAAATGAAGCTGGTGGATCAGCTAATTATGTAAAAATGCAAGATACTTACCTATATTTTTAGTTTTATAGATCAGACCAAGTAATGCTACATCACTTGCACAAGGAGTTTTTGCTATTTGGATATTGGCTACTTCAGACAATGTATCATTAATATCCAGGGATTCACCAAGGGTCCAATACCACTGAAGAAGAGGATCTGCAAGAGAGCACTAATGTTTAAGAAAGCAAAAATTCTTTCTGCTTTTTACTTAAAGAGTGAAGGAAATATGCAACTATCTCTGAAATTTGTGGAGACACCCTTGGAGGTGAGTAAGGGATGTTATCAGTCTGGTCCAGGGTTGGGGTGGGGGATGGGAATGGGACTGCCATCACTGTGGTGGAAGGTAGGGGGAAATACAGAAGTGGGTGAAGGCATACAGAAGAGACGAGGTTGTCTAAGTCTGCTGGAAATTGAAGAGTACTAGGAGACCGCTTCAAGTAATGAGTACCTTCCTTAGACCTGTTCTTAGTAGAATACACACACACACACACACACACACACACGGGGTACTCTCTTTTTTCATGATGGTGGCTATTGGAAATCCTGCCCGGAATTATATTTTGTTTTGATTGAGATATTTTATGTGTTGCAATTTAATCATTCATTTCTTCTGTATCCATATGTATCAATGTTGTTTACTGCTTTGGAGCCTTTGGGCCAAAAAAGCGGAATATAAATAAAACATTCCATATCATATGAATAAATTCAGAAAACTTAATGTCCATGCTAATTTCCACGAGACCACAATTACTTACAAAACCGCAAACACTCCCTATGAGCTATGACGTACCTCGTATGACATCCAACAAGGTTCCCGTAGTAGTGAACATATTTAAACCATGATGCATATTAAATTTTACAAACCATTCCTCAATTGGATTAATATCTGTTTCAGTGGCATGTACAAAAAAGACAGAGACAGATTAGTCATATAAGTACACAAGTATTATGGGTGATATCCAACGTCCAGCAAACAGGCCTCTGCTTACACAACATGGTTTCTTTTTCTCCTCCCTCTTGCAATCCCCACGACCAAACCCTCTGGAGCAAATTTCAGGGGGCAAAGACTCGTTGCACAAGTGGAAACCCATTCCACTTGCAGGTAGACACAAGTGGATATTGCTGTATGCTTACGTCAATATTACTCGGCTACGAGAGATCGCCAAAGTTGATGACGACTACATGCTCTTCTCAAATTTGCCTACAATGGTGAACTGCTCTTCAACTGAATTCTTAGTAATGTACATCCCTGCATATTTTTTCTAGCCAATTAATTTTCCTATTTTTTTCTATTCAAGTTACAAAAATATCACAGTCAAAATAAATGCAATATACATTATCCCAAAACTGGCTTTCTCTCCACTGAAGTTGGTATACTACTTATGCACCATTTGAGATTGTGCCAAATGCTCACTACCAAGTTGTCAAATTTCTCCCCTGCTAACAGGATTTTGTGCAAAATTTTTCTTTTGAAATTAAATGTACTCACCACCTTACGTGAGTACAAAAACAGCAACAACAACACAAGGAAGCATCAAAAGCCTGCAAGGATAAATAAGTGGAAATTATAAATCTCTCACCTGTATTATATGTTAACTCTTCTCGGTTGATTTCAATACTCCACGAATCCACACCTTCTCCCTTTTGTTTAAAGAAAGGATGGCAACCCAAGAATTTTAGTCTTAAATACTTGAAGAGTCACATACATTTAGGTAAACTACTGTGCAGACTGATTTTCCAATTATGAATTTTCGTAGCTGATAGTCTCATAGCTTAAGAACTGTTTCTCACAGTGGTTTGGTATGTATTTTGTTGTTAATGTTCATGAAATGAAGTACTAACAAGAATTCTTTCAAAGTGTTAATTCTATTGTGCAACAGAAAGCTATCACTTGGCTTTGGAACACATTTTTAAAAGAAAAGCCTGACAAGCTTTTCAGATACCTTTCAATTGAAAAACTTTCTAAAGAAATGCCTAAAGTAACTGATATTATAGTTTGAAGTCTTGCTTTTTTCTGTTATATTTTACTCCCAAAAGACCCATTTATCCCAAATAGAACCCAATATGGCAGACATGTATGTACTCTCTCTCTCTCCATATATATATTTATAGGAACTCAAACACTGAGATCCTGCTCTGTTCCAGTAACAAGAAGCCGAAAGCACCAGCCTGAAGATGACGAGTGAGACCTCGTCGAAACGTCGCCTAGACACCCCAACTTTTACACGGGAAGACACCCGAGGACACCAAAACCTGCATTCCTGTACCCGTGAAAATCTACGAAAGCAAATATCTCACCTCTACGGGGAGGAAACCTTCCAGCTGACAAGAACCTACGAGAAACTAGAAATCCGAAGAGCCACCATCTTATGTGATCTCTTGTTCCTACGCAACTGCCGAGACAACAACTTAATTCCCACATGCTTCCAACTTAAATTCCACTCTAAAACCCCAGCTACCGAAAGGATCCTGAAACGAACTGAACTATCCCTAATCAGAAACGAACTACATAAGAAAAGATACCTACTAACATTGGAGGCTATACACCACACCCCCTCAACAGTATTTATAGGAACTCAAACACTGAGATCCTGCTCTGTTCCAGTAACAAGAAGCCGAAAGCACCAGCCTGAAGATGACGAGTGAGACCTCGTCGAAACGTCGCCTAGACACCCCAACTTTTACACGGGAAGACACCCGAGGACACCAAAACCTGCATTCCTGTACCCGTGAAAATCTACGAAAGCAAATATATATATATATATATATGCTTTCGTAGATTTTCACGGGTACAGGAATGCAGGTTTTGGTGTCCTCGGGTGTCTTCCCGTGTAAAAGTTGGGGTGTCTAGGCGACGTTTCGACGAGATCTCACTCGTCATCTTCAGGCTGGTGCTTTCGGCTTCTTGTTACTGGAACAGAGCAGGATCTCAGTGTTTGAGTTCCTATAAATACTGTTGAGGGGGTGTGGTGTATAGCCTCCTATGTTCTGGGCAGAGAGGAAGTTCCCAGGCTAGTGTGCCTTTTCTTCTTTTGTTCCTTAATTAATTAATTAAGGAACAAAAGAAGAAAAGGCACACTAGCCTGGGAACTTCCTCTCTGCCCAGAACATAGGAGGCTATACACCACACCCCCTCAACAGTATTTATAGGAACTCAAACACTGAGATCCTGCTCTGTTCCAGTAACAAGAAGCCGAAAGCACCAGCCTGAAGATGACGAGTGAGATCTCGTCGAAACGTCGCCTAGACACCCCAACTTTTACACGGGAAGACACCCGAGGACACCAAAACCTGCATATATATATATATATATATATATATATATATATACGTGCTCCCAGTGAGACCCCAAGATGAAATTTTGCAAGTAGCCCTTAGAAATATTAAATAATCCATACAATGTTTTGGGATTTTTCAAAACCATATTAATTTTTTTTAATCACTTTTAATATTTTTTTTAGCTGACATTTAAAATTTAAAGTAAGCCCATTATGTGACATGTGCTATTAAAGCCCATGAAGTTCTGAAGAGATTGGTGTTTTTAGCTTTGATGTACCTCAATTCTGGGCTGAGCTCTTAAGCTTTTTGTGTAATCCAGGAAGGCTAAAATTGTCAATTTTTAAAAAATTCAAACCCTCATAACTAAAAAATGGGCTGAGATTTCAAAAAAAAAGTTTTAAACTTAGTTTTATTCATTCAACAAGTGTGCAAAATATGAAGAAAATTGGATGACATGAGCTATAAAAGTTGGATAACTTGACATGGAAAGACCCTCCTACGGATCACAACAAATGGTATTCAGAAGCATACAGCCTCCAACTGTGGAAGCAGAGCATTGCATCCATGGTCCATGGAGGGCACAACATCGCCTCCATCATTGCTAGTAGCCACCAGTAGACATCCTCCATTGAAGTAGCAGAGAGCAAGCAGAAACTTCCCCTTTCTGGCATGCTACAACATGATCCAGAGAGTAAGGTGCCCGGCTCCTACTAATACAGAAAATGCCACTGGCACCTTACACTGTTGGAAACAATGTAAAGCACATCAGGAAAAGCTCCATGACTATGATACTTGATTCCTGCTAACGCTTTTCACATGCATTTATTTGCAGAGTTCATGTGGGGTTTGCATTCTTTTAAGGAAAAGGTTAAGTTAAAATCAGCAATTGATAGCTGCCACTCTATTGCTTATTATAATTATTATTACATTTGTATACTGCCCTATATCCACAGATCTCAGGGCAGTTCCAAAATAAAATCACAATATAAAAACACAAAATACATAATAAAAACAAAAAACCCCACATTTTAAAAAATTGTATAATACCACACCATAGTTCAAAGGGGATACAGGGCTGGATCTACACTGACTTGTTTAACGTTATTAGAACAATATTAGATATATCGTTACAAAACGTCACAGGGCATACTTGTAAAATAAAGCTTCTTTCTTTTTCTTTTTTTACCTGTTTTAAAAATCAAAACAGCTGTCTCCCTACTGCCAGTTGCTGGTTGCTCTGCAGCACCCTCTGGTATCACATTTTAATAAAGCATTATGAACGTTAAAAGGAGGACGTGATGTGTCCATATGGTTATAAAAACCGTTCCTTAAGCCTTCCTTAATGTTAAAAACCATGAGTGCAGATCCACCCCAGGAACCTGCCTTAAACCAAGTCAGATTGCTTGTCCATCTAGCTCAGGCCGGCCCAACTTTTATACCAAGTGGGCCGCAAGAGTACTCTGACCATGTAATCTGTGGGCCACACTGCCTTGATGCAGTTAGCGCTTTCCCAGCTTCGGGAAGGAGGTAATAGGGTTCTAGGACCTTGCCAGAGCCTTTGTGCCCTCCTTTCCCAAACCCAGCACCTCACTTAGCTGGCTTTGGGAAGGCAATGCAAGGGCTGAGGGGGCGTCAAATGTTGCTGAGGGCCAACATAAAAGGTCTTGAGGACTGCATGTGGTCCTTGGGCTACACATTGGGCCACTGTAAGTTTCCAGCCGAATGTTATGGCATTGTTTAATAAGTATCCGGTGACAGTGGCTGTCCTGAGTTCAGGCAGAGGTGACCACCTGCTACCTGATCCCTTTTAACTGGAAATAGCCAGGGAGTGAACCTGGGACCTTCTGCATGTACATGGTGTGCTATGAGCCCTTCCGCAATGCTTTACCAGAGTCATTTTGAAGTAGAAGACTTTGGAGTAGGTACTGTTGAAGATCTGGATGCTGGGAGCAAGACCAACTGAAGTAAAAAGAACTAGATTCTTCCGTCTGTTCTCCTCGGTGTCGGGTTTATTAATATTATACAAATGACAGCGGATAGTCTTTAACAGGAAAAAAAACCAGGATTAACATATGAAGCACATATCCACAACATCTGGAATTTTTAAACCTTTAAATGGCAACCTGCATTGATTTCAAAAGCGGAAGCTGCAATAAATAAGTAAGTAAGTAAGTAAATAAATAAATAAATAAGAGAACAACAACTACCAAACTTTTAGAAGACATCTGAAGGCAGCCCTGTTTAGGGAAGCTTTTAATGTTTGATGTATTACTGTATTTTAATATTTGGTTGGAAGCCGCCCAGAGTGGCTGGGGAAGCCCAGCCAGATGGGTGGGGTATAAATAAATAAATAATAATAATAATAATAATAATAATAATAATTATTATTATTATTATTAGAGTCATAAAGGAAAGGTGGGCAGAAATCCTCGTTTTTGTGGGACAACTTGTCATGAGACAAACGTTTTTGAGGGCAGAAGCTGGCAAGGCCTAGGCACGGAACAAGGCCTACACAATCTTTAACAGCTAAAAGTAAATTACTAATTCATCATGACACGTGACTCATCTTGAGTGATGACTTATTCTTCCTATATAAAGTAGCCATTTTCTCTCTGGGCATCAGTCTGTAATGAAGAGAGAGTCTGAGAGTCAGTCTCAGCTCATTATGTGAATGTATAGCTGTTGCAGACAGAACGAGCGGCTCCAGGACTCCCAATTAATCAGTAACTAAAGACTGTGCCTCTCTGAAGACTAAAATAGCTGCTATGAGCACTCTGTGTATGCTCTTAAACTATGCTGTTTCTGAACAAGTTTATTTTCTTCAAGTAAAAGTTTTATTCTGTTTATAAAGAAGACTCTGCGTTGATTAATTTACCGCTGTGCGACACAACTTGCCCTTGCCCTCTCTCAAGTGATTTTCCCTGCTTTTGGCTAGCATGGACAAGTGCCACTGCAATTGGGAAGTTTAGGGTTAAAGTATAGAAAATGATCATTATTTGACAAATTAATATACCTGAAAAGCACAAAATACATAACATAATAGAAAAGATCCCACAGTAAATCCCCCACAGACACATTTAAAAGGCCATAGATGGTTTAATGAGCCAAAACGCCTAAAATGTTTAAGTTTGACCTTCTGTTGCAGCCCAAGGCCCCTTCCTGCCATCCTTCCTCTTCCTTTCTAAATGGGCAAACAAGGCTGCCCTTTGTTTCATCCCTGACAATATCCTGAGGCAGTGTTGGCAAGGCTTTCTTCATCAGGCAAGGCCTTCTTCCACCTGCCTTGCCCCACCCTCCAGCCCTGGGACTCCTCATAAGGGAGCAATGCCTGGAGGAAGACCTGTGAGGGGAGAGACTTCACCAGGCCAGGCCTTCTTCTGGCTTTTTATTTTAAGTTTTACAGTGGTACCTCGGGTTAAGTACTTAATTCGTTCCGGAGGTCCGTTCTTAACTTGGAACTGTTCTTAACCTGACGCACCACTTTACCTAATGGGGCCTCCTGCTGCTGCTGCGCCATTGGAGCACAATTTCTGTTCTCATCCTGAGGTAAAGTTCTTAACCCGAGGTACTATTTCTGGGTTAGCGGAGTCTGTAACCTGAAGCGTATGTAACCCGAGGTACCACTGTATCTCAAAAGAGAAAAAATGCCCCCTCACAATCTGGTTGGTTTTGAAGGATTTGCACAGGGCAAAAACTGGCAGGGATGGTTTCCCTTCTTGCCTGTTGGTCCATCCTGTTTGCTTGCCAACCATGGGGGGGCTGTTCAGGAAGCGGGTGGGAGCAGCAGCAATGGCTGTACTGTGACTAATTTTGTGTTTTTCCATGCCCCTCCATAGCAGCCAGGATGTGTTATGCCACACTCCCCATGGCAGCCATCTTGTGACTGGCACTCACAGCACTTCCTTCAAATTCAAAATGTGCCCACTGCCCCCCCCCCAAGGTTGGCAACCCCTGAGCCTAAGTTTAGCTCCATGAGAATCTTGATTCCAGACTCATTAGCCCTGCAGCACGTAAAAGAAATTACCTGGCTATATTCATAGCTGCAGCAAGTTCAGAAGCTAGAACACCCTTTTATTGTTATTTAAATAAACAAACTGCAAGACTATGTTTTGATGCCAATAAATAAATGAAAGTTCTTTAAATCGCATATGGTGTTGTTAGATCCAAGGGGAGTCTGAACAACCAATAATAGTTCACTCCACTTAGCTAAGCTTCTGAGTCTAACCACTTCCGATTCAGTTAGTGATGACAGCGAACAATCAATTTAAACATATGTCATCTAGATATCAACTTTGTGTGGATATCTATCTGGACATTTGGAGAACTTAAATGAACTTCTATGATTTATGCACCAATGGTTATCGGTATCCATAATATGAACTGACGATGAGTTCTTTCTTACTGTTGTATTTATTTATTTATATAATATTACCATGCCCTTATTTTAATTACTTTCTCATTCCCTTTCCTTTTCCTAAATTTGGGGAAGAAAATAAAAGAATTGATTAACTTATTCTGCCGAACCAAAGAATGGTGCATTGGTGAGTTATTCCCCGCTGCCTTAATACAAGTGTGTTACAGTGGTACCTTGGTTTGCAACCGTTTTGAATTACAACCTTTTTGGATTACACCCATGTCAAACCCGGAAGTGCGTGTCTGTTTTTTTGGATTACAACCCTTTTTGGGGGGGGCGGGGAGACCCCATTGGCGAAAGCGTGCCTTGGGTTACAACCTGTTTTGGTTTACAACGGATTATGGTTGTAAACCAAGGTACCAATGTATTTGCTGAGCTACTCCCCATTCAATTGCAACTGGAAATACATTGCTGGAAACTTACCAAAGTGTTATCTGAAAGAAACAATTTAATTGTCTTAGATGTCAGAGAGGGATCTTCTGTGTAGCAAGAAAAACTCGAATTGCTCCCCACTGAGTGAGAAAAAAATATGATCACTAATATTTTCAAAGATGATATTACAGAACTAGAATATACTGAAACTCAAATCAAAAGAGAAATTGTGGGCTGAAATGGATAGCATTGGCTTTTGTGAGTGATCAATAAAAAATACAGTAGTAATAATCACAATAACAACATTCAATATTATTAGCAGTCTCAGGAAGGAAGTTTTACTGGGAGACGTAGGGTTTAGGGTGGGCAATAAGAAAATAAATAATATATTTATGGTAATCTTTAAACCAAGGCTAGACTGCATGGGTCTGAACAACCAAATTAACCTTTGTGCTTCAGTCAGTATCTTCCCAAGCTCTCTCACTGTGGCTCACTTGACTCCTAGACAACACACATTCAACATCATTAGCAAATATCTCTTGCTCTTTAATAGGTTGGGGTTTTTTTAAGAAGCTTCTTGCATCTGCTGCAGTAAAAAAAAAAATTAAATCCTGGATTCAGTTCCCAAAACTGTGTGCACACTTTTCCCTTTGAAAGGTGGGCCCTATCATCACTTGGACAAAATAAAGTTCTGATCTTTATGGAGTCCTTTGCAAATCACAGCACATGCAAATGCATGGCTGCAGGGTTCAGTACACTAGTAACTAACCAACCCGTATGCAAGAATAGGAAGGTGAAATAAAGTAAAATACAACTTACCATTTACATTGTAGGTAAGTCCTGATGAAAGTTGTAGAACAGCTGCAAGCACAAGATAAAGCTGCAACAGCACCATCTGTAATTGTAAAAATAATATAAATGTGCATTTAATTCAAAGCTATATTTAAAGCTGGTCCCCCAATAGTCACATGATATATACAGTAACCAAGGAGGACAACAAGGATGCAGATAAGAGCAACATGCTTGGTCATCAAAGAGTCCCCTTAGGTGCTATGGAAACTGCAAGCTGAAACCTGCTTCCTGTTCCAAACCCTGGGTTCACCTATGGCAGAAAGAAGATTTAGTTCCCACCCCAGATGCAGACCCTTCAATTGTCCCTATTTTTCAGGGACAGTCCTGGATTTGCAGAAGCCGTATAGGTTTCTGATTTGATTCTGGAATGTCCCCCTATTTTCCTTGGAGATACGCTGGAGGGTATGCAAATGCACTCCTGAGTTAAATGCCTTGCCTTTCTCTACTACATGTGAATGGCTGCAGCTCATGCCATTGGGGAAAAGTAAAATCTTGGATTTAAGGATTATATTGTAGAGGGAGCAAAAAATCAGCTCAACGCCTGCAACTGATTCAACACCGACACTCTGCTGCCCCTTGTTGCTTTGCTGTTATTTGTTCATATATTACTTTGGTGCTGATAATGCCAAAGTTGTAGGTTCAATCCCCGTATAAAACAGCTGCATATGCTTACATTGGAGGGGGTTGGACTAGATTATCCTCAGGGTCCCTTTCCAACTCTACAAATCTTTGATTCTGTGAGGGATGTGGAACCTGTACTCCTAATGTTGCTCTACTACTTCATCTGACTGGTGGCCATCGCTAGGAGTGATGGGAACTGAGATCTAATGTTCAACTGGAGAAACAAAGGTTCCCTAATTCCTGCTCTGTATGTACTGGATTAGGGACGTGGGTGGCGCTGTGGGTAAAAGCCTCAGCGCCTGGGCTTGCCGATCGTAAAGGTCGCGGTTTCGAATCCCCACCGGTGGGGTGCGCTCCCGTTGTTTCAGTCCCAGCGCCTGCCACCTAGCAGTTCGAAGCCACTCCCAGGTGCAAGTTAGATAAATAGGGACCGCTTACCAGCCGGGAAGGTAAACAGCGTTCCGTGTGCCGGCTCTGGCTCGCCAGAGCAGCGATGTCACCGTCTGGCCACAGTGACCCCGGAAGTGTCCTCTGGACAGCGCTGGCCCCCGGCCTCTTGAGTGAGATGGGCACACAACCTAGAGGTCTGTCAAGACCTGGCCCGTATGTGGGGCAGGGGACCTTTATCCTTTTTTATGACTGGATTACTTTTGTTTTCCTGTTTTGGTTTGTTTGTTTCATATAGTCCAATAGCTTGCCGTGTGGATCTCAAATGAAATGAATAGGCCAGGATATGAATGTTAAAATAAACATATATATTTTTTAAAAAAAAAAGATCATAGATTAAAAAAATGGAGTACTTTGTTAAACTATCAAGCAACTGGTTTGGCACAGGATCAAATTATTTCTTATGAACAGGCAGGCCAATAATACTCAACATCTATTTCTCCTGTTTTTTCAACGGAGACATATGGTAGAACAATTAAAGCCTAAAATATGGGTCCTTTGCATTAAAAAAACCTCATTTGAAGGCCTTCAAGCATAATGATAAAAACCAAAGTGATACAAAGATCTATTTAATATCCTCAATATATATGCAAAGAATCTCTTTGGTCCTTCCTACATACGTTAATAATATTTATAAAGCACTCCTTAACCCCTACACCATATTGAAACGGTAAAGGTCCCCTGCCCGTACTGGGCCAGTCTTGACAGACTCTAGGGTTGTGCGCCCATCCTCACTTCAAGAGGCCAGGGGCCAGCGCTGTCCGGAAACGACTTCCGGGTCACAGTGACCAGCGTGACATTGCTGCTTTGGCGAGGCCAGAAGCCGCACACGGAAACGCCGTTTACCTTCCGCTAGTAAGCGGGCCCCTGATTTATCTACTTGCACCCGGAGGTGCTTTTCAACTGCTAGGTTGGCAGGCGCTTGGGACCGACGACGGAGCGCACCCTGCCCGCGGGGATTCGAACCGCCGACCTTTCGATAGGCAACCCAGGCCGCTTGAGGCCTTTTACCCACAGCGGCCAACCCGCGTCCCTACTGCACCATATTGGCAACTTGTAAATGTATAATTATATCATTATTATGCATTAAACAGCAAGAAAGTGAATACTTCCATTAGATTAATGAATTGCGACTTACGTATTATTGGCATGCGGGTTGCCATACTGATATATCTTGTGTCCGAATGCAAGCATTCTTTCTTTCTTTAAACCATTTCCTATACCACTATCACATTTTAAAGTACCTTCTTTGCCAAAGGCTGTATCAGTTTTGCTGAGCCATCTTTGCCACTTCCAAGAGAGCCAGCCAACTGTTTGCAGAGGATGACAGTTGGAAGAGTTCAAGTTCCGTCACAGTGACTCCTAATAGCAACAGGACTCATAAACTGATCCACCTTCAGAAATGACCACTCCCCACATCAAATGGGGGGCACTTTTTGCGTGGTCACACGCAGCCTCCCGGATCCCAGTGTGGCTCCCAGTAGTACGGGCTGGCTTCGCCCTCCCCAGGCTGGATACCTGGAGGTCTCTGCCTACCTCAGCCAGTCGCCCAATCCCACCTGGGGAGGCGTTGCCAGGGGATCGGCCAGGTAGGGGGAGGGACCGCCCTGCCAACACAACAGAAGGTGAATCTTACCTGCGAAGCGTCAGTTGGCTCCAGAGCTTCTTCCACCCTGCC